GGGCCGGGTCGTGACACCTACACTAATTAAAGCATAATAGAGAAAGATTATGATTTAATATTTGGGAAAAAGATGCATTAAATAGAGAGAATTATAGAAAATAATGCATAATAGATTAACGCTTCGTTTGAGTCACCTTTCTTACGCTTTTTAAAACAATTTTTCAGTACAAATTTTTTTTAAACAAAATTTTTTGTGCTAAAAGAAAGCCCTCCCAAATAGAGCCAAAGTCTTTCCTATTGATTTTTTTTTTTTCTTTGGCTTAGAGCCCGCAAAAGGAAATAAAAAATTTCAGCTAAAATGGAGGGCAACTTCTTAAGCTTAACGATGAGAGATTATTAGGTGCAGTGTGGACGGGGAGAACCGTCCGCACAAGTATTGGATACCTAACGGTACCCGCACTCGGTACCGTTGGGTACCGTTAGGTATCGAGTTCTTGTGCGGATGGCGCGCACTCCGCACCCAATAATTTTTCCTTAACGATAGGCATTCTTTCAATTCCAAATATTCTTCCCTATATCTCTTCTAGAAATGAAGTCATTGACATCATCGATCTTTTTTGTAAACCGTTCTTTAAAAAATTTGCATAATTTTCCATTCCAATGGCCTCTGCCATCGCCATCATTTGCTTCAAAATTGACAATCATCTCTTCCAATAGTACTATCGATCGAAAGACATGCACATGCATCATCGATTTGTAATGAACTCAAAATTCAGTACTATATAATTGTAAAATGAATAAATTAAAACTAAGAGAAATAAAATGATTATAAAAATATGGCAAAGAATTTTTTTTTAAAAAAAAAAAAAGAATAAAAAGTATTTGAAATGAAATCTATGTTGAATAGTTTGATTTGTCTTTTGAAAATAATCTCATGAGTATATATAAGCTTCAAGGAGATTTCAAGGTACAATACAATTATAAATGAGAAGTTAAGATAAAATTATTCAAAGATTACTATTCAAAATAAAAATTATTTTTCAAAAATAGTTTATTGTAATAAACTTCTCATTTAAATTCCATATTTACTATTTCAATAAATAAATAAATTAAATTAAATTCTAGTTAAATGTAAACAAAAAAAATCAATTAATCAATAAATGAATTTTTTCTCTACATATAAATATAATTTATTTTCTTGTTAGAGGATGATGAAATAATTTTGAAATTAATGCATCTAATAGACCCTTAGGTTTTAAGTTTATGGAGCCAAATATGACTCATTTAATTTAAATTAATGAAGGATTTGAATGCAAATGAAAGAGTAAGATATAAATCATCATAATAACAAATGAAATGCTAGGATTTAACATCAGAAGAATCACAAATCACTTTTATAATAATAGTAAAGATTTAGAATCTGTTGCTTCGTCATAAAAAAAGAAATTAAAAGAAATTACTTATTCCAAAAATATGTGTAGGAGTGATGATAGCGATACATTTGAGACAAGTCTATCCCAACCTACAACAACACAACAACAACAACAACATCAAACCTTTGTTCTACTATGTGGGGTCAGCTACTTGAATCATTTTTCTCCATTGTGTCATGTTAAAAGTTGAATTATCGTTTAAATCTAATAAAGAAAGATCATTTCTAATATTTTCTAAGTCTTTTTAGGTCTACATCTATTTTTCTTAATATAAGTTAAATCTAATACCTCCACTTTCCTAACTGGGTCATCAGAACGCTGCTGTTTTATGTGAACAAACCATTTAAGGTGACTCTTTCTAATCTTATCTTCCAATGGAGTTACTCCAACCTTTCATGTATTTCTCATTTCGCATCCTATCTCTAAGGGTAAAGCCACTCATCCACCTGAGCATCCTCATCTCTATAACACTTAACTTAATATTATGCTTCTATTTTAATGGCCAACATTCGGCACATTAAAGCATTGCATATCTTACCACCATCTTATAGAATTTTCTTTTAAGATTGTGGGGAGGGTGACAAGCCTGATTCCTCCACTTCAACCATTCAACTTGAATTCTGCTGATAATGTCGCCATCTATTTCACCATCACTCTGAATAAATACTAATTTCCGATGAATTTTGTGCATATTCCGACGAATTTTGGCCGTCGGTAACAGACGATTTTCCTGTAGTGCAATCCCTTCACTAGGCCTATTACTACTACAATTACACTCCATATATTCATTATTTACTGACATGTTAGTGTGCATGATTAGAGAGTGAGAAGGGGAAAGGGGTAAAGCTCTTTGTTTTCTTCTCTACTTAGGACACTTGATATTTATTTTTAAGTTCCATGAAATATCTACTCAATGAACAAATACTACTGAACAAAAATATTAGATAGATGTTATTCATCGAGTAAGAAGTAGTTTGCGAGAAATGAGAAAAGTAATTTGCGAGAAATGAGAGGAAGATAAAGGCGATAGATCGAGAGAGAATAAGTGGTGCTCACTCTCACATTTACCTTTGCTCTCTTTTTTCACAATAATATATTTATCATCTATGATAACTATCAAATATTTACTTGCTATCATAAACATTATAGAAAGCTCCATTATTCAAATATTTACTTGCATCAACTTGGAAAATTATCAGGGAAGGGGCGGACGCCCTTGCGGGCATCCTTCGGTGGAAGGTAGGTGATGGGGCAGGACGGTTGGATCCTCGATCGCAGAATTGAGAGATGGCCTACCTTTGTGAATGTGGAGGCGGTGGACAATGCTCATGTCAACCATCTGCTCGATGACAATTTTCAGTGGAATGCGGATGTGGTGGAACACTGTTTTGGCACGATTATGGCTCAGCGTATTATGAATATCGTGACGACGCCTAGCGCGGGTGCTGACCAGCCTGAGCTTATTAAGTCTTTCTTTGGATCTTCCTTGGCGGTGGTGGTTTACCGTGACAAGTTCGGGGCGGCGAACTTTGAGTTTGGATGGATGCACAAGCTTAAGCTTCACCCGCGTGAGAAGTTCCATTGGTGGCGACTGCTCCATGATGCCATCCCTACCAATATGTGGCTTCTTCGTCGGGGGCTGTCGGGTACTGGTGATTGCCCGTGGGGTTGCGGGGGTGAGGAGACCGAAAAAAAAAAAAAAAAAAAAAAAAAAAAAAAAAAAAAAAAAACTGTGGATAATATGATGGAATTTTTGTTAGGAGAGGCTTCAGTTTTTTGAATTTATATTGAGATTAGTGCTACATATGATATTCAAGAATTGCACTAATCTCAAGATAATGAAGTCGATAGTGAGCAAAGTTGATAAACTATTCCAAAGAAAGGGCCATCAAACCATACTTGCAAGTCTATTATAGAGGCAAGCAACTTGTATTTCCCTCAATTCATCGTTCATTAAA